GCAAGTGAAAATAAAATGCATCGAGAAATGCCATGCAGATAAAGCACAAATCTAATCTGGATCTTGAAATTGATTAACTTATTTGCTACCTCCATTCATTCTAAGTAGAGACAGCAGAAGTTTTGTGTACAAAGCTTAGCCCAGGTGATGAGTTTGGCTACTGTACATACATTGAACATTGTCAAAAGAAAAACTGCCCTCAAAAGACCAGGACAAACCGTCCTCGCCTCTTGCATATTCTTTTAGTTTTTTTCGCCATACTTTGCTTAGTATTTGTTTCTGAGCTACCTTCGCTAGTTGGCTTCATATTTCCGCACAACGCTATGCTGGCTATGCTGTCGCCTCCACGGCTCTCTCAAAATAAGACTTGATTGTGTTTCTACCGATATGATTGTTTGGCCACACCTGGCATATACCGATACAAAGTAAAGAAATCAAGCAGAAATGGCTGTATAAATATTACTCTGTACTATATGCATGCTTCTTTTTTACAGATACTGAAGAGGAAGCTGGCCATTGGATTCTCGACAATATCAAGGGCTTGTGAGGGGCGTAGGCTGCGGGACCTCAGGACCGCCCAGCTGCAGCAACGTAACCGGTGCTCGGAGTTCGAGCTAAAATGCAGCGAAGCAGAAGTGGGGCACCTCAAAGCATGCCAGTTGACTATCGATAAAATTCGACACAAACCCAAGAAGTGTATGTACTACACCAGGCTGCTCGAGTTTACCATATTCGAAGCGATGCACGCCTTCTTTGAACCTCGGGCAGCCATGTGGAAGTATTGGAAGTGCAACAAGAGAACCAGCGAGATGAAAGGCCACCCGTGGAAGATGGAGCTTATTGAAGAGTTAATGATGTTTGTGAGGTTACGGACTGGAATGATTGGTAAGAAAATTCAAGAGAACCTTCCCCACGCTTTCAAAACTTTTCGAACACAAGGGTAGTCCTCGACGGAACGGAGGTGCGGATCCAGAGGCCGTCTCCTCTGTGTGCCCAGAGGCAGACGTTCTCGCTTTACAGACATTTTAACACATACAAGGCTGTCATTGGCTGCACCCCCAACAGCTACATTTTGCACGTTTCAGATTTGTGGGGAGGCTCCGTTTCAGATTGCCCGATTGTTGAGCAAAGTGGGCTGATGGGGCTGTTGCAGCCAGGTGATGCCATTATGGTCGACAAAGGTTTCAGACTATACGACGTGCCACCAGGGGTGCAGGTATGCATTCCTGCTTTCAGGAAGCCTCAAGAACCACAGATGGCAGAGGAAAACATGGCACACATGCGGCAATCGGCCGTGTGTGCGCCATGTCGACATCGCTGACCAAATTTATGTGGTCTGTTGCTTTCTTTGCAATTTCCGGGAGTCGTTAACCAACAATAATTAGTGTCGGAGCGTGACCCAGCTCAATCCTTGCTTCGTGTCCTCACCTTCGAATGGCTTTGGCTGTCCCAAGCGCATGCGGCACGGAGAGAAAGTGAGGACTGACGTTGCACGCCGGCATTTCTTTTAAAAATGTGGTCATCCGGAGATATTGCTGTACGAGTAATGTTCTTGACGATTGTAACGTCCCACATGGTGCTCCTGCCTTGTTCAGTTCAGCAGCACTTTAACAATAGAACATTTTGAAAAAGAGTGAGGTGGAAATTGGACCACCATAGGTCAAAATTTTCATCTTTTCTTGGGGCTGATTGATTATTGCAGAATGTCGCCCTTCATGCAGTAATTTTCCTACAGTTGTTTCTTAAAACAGCAAAAAATAAGGTGCCATGAAACATTTGCAGACACTCCTTAAATTGCTACCGGAGCTGAGAGGACCAATTGTTTGGGACATGTAGCAGCAAAATTTGCAATACTGTATATTCATGTGTGGTTTGAATAGCTTTCCTTGCTGCATTTGTCTTTCTAATCTTGTACATGGTCAGTGACAATTCAAAGTGTGCCCTTTTTTTTCCGATTGCCAAGGATGTGGGCGTCGAACCGTCTGCTTTTGTAAGGATTTATTTGACTTAAGCAGAGCAGGAAGTATGTATCTTTACACCATTCAATTCACAATTCTTTGGAACTCATCGGTTTGAGAGTTTTGGATAGTGTATGGCACTTGTGGTGTGCACGCACGCTTTCATATGAAAACCCTCAAAGCGATCATTATTGAAAAACATGGATTTCAGCTTAGGTAAGTATGTTTTGTTATATTTCATTTAAATTGATGCAAGGCATACGCATCGCACAAGACGCATCCGAGTGTCGTCCGACGTGTTCCACCGTACATTGCGAACGTAGCTCTCGTCTGCAGCACTCGCGGTCCCGAAATGAGCTTGATCCAATGGCGACTGAAGAGGGGGAGTGGGGTATGGTGGGGGCGCGGCAACGCCAACAGATTGCATACACCCATATGGACCGCGTTTCAAAAATTTTCAATCTCGCTGCTTCATACTGTTGCGTTTGAAAACCTACCTTGCTCCACAGCGTTGCCCTGTTTGTGCTGCCATGTGGTCTACTCATATAGATTTAAAGCAACCAGTTTTTTTTTTTCTTTAATTGATAGCGATTTGTCGGAACATTGCTGTAGTACAGGGGTGGCCAAACTGCGGCTTTTCGCGGGTTCAAGTGCGGCTCGCGACTTCCTGGTAAGCGTGGCCCCCCTCCCTCTTTCCTCCTGTGTCCCAGAGACAAAAAAAAAAAAAAAGATCTAGAATTAAAAGGAAAAAAAACTTTCAGCCTTTCCACTCTGGTGAAGGAAGACCAGGGAAGCTGTACTATGGTAGGAATGAAGTAACCGCCAGCTGCAAGTCATCAAGCCAGAGTGGAAAGGCTGGAATGGTTGCCGCCATCTGTGAGCAACGGCGACAACCAAACAACCGGCAAGCCAGTTGTCTGGTTGCCACCATTGCTAATAGATGGAGGTAGCTGTCCAGAGTTTCTTGTTGAGATTTGTTTGCCCACGGACACGATACTTGGGAAACTTGCCCTTAACAGCTCCGCTATAAAGAATTAGCCTTGACAGGTTTGTACAACATTGTGACCCAGTGACCCCGTTTCTTTATTGTTGTAGAAAAATTTTTCAACCGTATACGCATAACGGGCGTCAGGGGCAGTGGCTGGCTGAAGTACCATACATTCCTATTTGCTTAGTGGTTGAAGAAACATTTTGCTGCATGGTGTTATTTAACAATTAAACTTGTCCCCTTTGGAAAGGACTGTTCCCTCCATATTGTTTATTGTTCGAAGTAGCCCCCCCCACCCTTTATTTTTTTTTTTATTTTCCCCTGTGGCTCTGTGAACTTTTGTAATTGTGTCTGCGGCTCTAACCCCATGTCACTCTGGTCACCCCTGTTGTAGTACATACCTCGGGGGTAGCCCTAAACAACCTATTCCTGTTTGAACCCGTCCCGTTTTGACCCATTCCTAAAACAACCCACTCCCACTTGAACCCGTCCTGTTTTGACTCATTCCCTTTTGAACCCACCCTGTTTCAACCCATTCCCAAAACGCCCTTTGCATTTGAATCCATCCCGTTTTAACCTTTCTGTACAAGGCCTGCACATCTCAACCTCTTCGCAAAATATCCCCATCGTTCGAACCCTGGTCTGCACGCATTTTCTGCTTAAAAATATCTTCTGAAATATTTTGTCTGTCAACGTGTTCTTAAAATATACAAACCTTTCACACAAGTTTCAACGTAATATCTTCCTACGTCAACCACCTAAATCATTTTTTTTTTTGTAAGATATGGTCCCCAAAACGTGCAACTGCGAAACAACTATGTATACCGAGCGACACTGTTACCGCGAGCACAACGTTGGAGCTTTTTCGAATTTTACTTCGAAATGGTATTAGTAGGCGGCACCAGATAATATTGTTTAGGCCAGTGGCCCAGATTAGCACTTCCAAGGACACTAATAGTTATGATGGCAGCCTTTTTATTCGATGAGATACACAAAAAACAGACAATCGCTTCTTCGCGCTAAGAGTGTAGCTCTGTACAATAGGGGAATTTTAAAATAATGTACGCAAGCACTCGGGGAAAGCTAAAAAAGCGTTGCCGATGAAAACGGGCGTTGCACGGCAGTATCGTAGCAACCGGTGCTGGAGTCCCTACGTCACTTCCGCACGACGCAGCGTCGCTCGGATCCGGTTGATAGAGATAAAGCCGCGTAGTGCACCTGTGACGTGCCCAGCGGTGAATGGTGTGCAGTGCCCACTTTCAACGTTCATATGTTTCATGCTAGAGGCGCCCATTTCCGCCTTTAGCAACGTCACCGTCGGCGTAATTGCCCCGCTAAATTTAGTGGGAAGTTGCATTGGTGTTGAGGTCACGTGACTACAATTTTAGCGCTAAATCTAGCGGAGAAACTGAATTTGCTCATGGGTGACATGACACGAAGTCATGTGACGTCATTTTCCTCACTAAATCCAGCGGGGAAAGTAATTTTGTGTATACATCAGGTGACACGAAGTCATGTGACGTCATTTTCCTCACTAAATCCAGCGGGGAAAGTAATTTTGTGTATACATCAGGTGACACAAAGTCATGTGACGTCATTTTTTCCGCTAAATTTTGCGGGGAAACTGAATTGGTGTTGAGGTCACGTGACGTCAATTTTCCCGCTAAATTTAGTGGGGAAACTGGGAGGGGAAGGTATGGAGGAGGATAATGGGAGGGTATGCAAGAGAAGGAGGGGAAGAGGAAGGGGCATACCCCCCTCCTCCTCAAGAGTTATGCTCTAATTTCGCATTACAGATTTTTAAATGTCTTACATTTTTTGAGGGCACCCAATGTGCTCGCGTACGTTATTCTAAAACTCCCCGTCGCCCGGTGCAGATTCTGATAGGGTAAACATTCATTCTGGGTTAAGAACAGCGACTTTGTGAACCAGTTGAGCACATGGCGACTGCAACAAGCACAAGGCATGATACGCTCACCTATGCCAAAGCCGTCTGTCTCCGTTTCAATTCTGTACTCTATAAAACCTAGCACCACAAGCAAGAACTGCAGTACCTTGTGAAAAGGCGGGGGCAACTGAAGAAAGTGGCTCCTCGACGCAGTCGTGCGGTGCAGATTCTGATGGGGGGAAACATTCATTGTGGGTTAAGAACAGCGACTTTCTAAATCAGTTGAGCACATGGCAACTGTAACGAGCACAAGGCATAGTATGTTAATCTATGAAAACAGTTTTATGCTTTTAAATAAACACAAAAATACTGAGAGCCAGTAATAGTGACAAATATTTATTGTAACCCTATGCCCCGAAAAAAAATTTAATAAAACAAACTGATGCTTATACCTTCGCCATCCCTGCAGCTGCTTGCAGTATCTCCGGATTCTGGAAAGCAATAAATGTGATTAACGAGCATGACAGTTTCAACCTCTGCATTATTTTTCGTCGCTCATTCATCTGAGATAGACTAAGGCACGAGATTCTTTGGCTTGCCTCGCCACTGGTCGCAGCCTCTGAAGATGTTATAGATGAACAAGTAAATATATGAAATGAGTGAAAGTTCCAAACCTGCATAAGGTCTCTATCAGGGTGTTTACCAAATTATTATTTGGAAATTCCCTGACTTTTCCAGGTTTTCCCTGACAATTTCAGGTGAAATTCCCTGACCACTGTAGAGGCAGTTAAATATATAAGTCCATTACAACACAAGGCATGGAGCATTGAGCACTGTGACAATCATTTTGCACTGGCTTGATTCAACTTCCACATTCCGAAATATTCGGGTTTGCCCAGTCTGGATTAAACGAGCACTTTCTTGCCACCGACATCGTCAGTGAAGAGGCCACTCCCGGAAACATGATGAAAACACGACTCTCAACCATACACGTCAATAACCCTCAATCCAATCCAATCCAATACAAGGCTTGAACTGGATTTGTCGGCTGTTCTCTTTGCATCGGGTAGCACACTCTACATCGGGTGAGCAGAACTCGCGCTCCGCTCTACGCAAAATTTATTGCCTATTTTTCTGGCCCAAAGTCCTCAAGCCTTTGCTCAGGGTGCTCAATGGCATTTCCGGCTCGTTTTCTCTGACTGGGTTCGCTTTTTGACAATATCCCTGACAATTCCCGGTTTTCCCGGTCGCTAGACACCCTGCTCTGTAAACACCACTACTAATGAACATACGCACGTGAAGGTGCGGATTACAAACAAGAAATTGATTCAAATTGACCTAACTAGAGATGCACACCACTTTTCACACTGTACCACTCAATGGGGTGTATTCGCACGTGACTAGCAAGCGGTGCACTTTGTGTTTGTGATTACCATCATGGCGTCCGTGATAGCAGATGGGCAGACGGCGGTTTCTGCACAGCTGCATGGGCCACACTCAACGAGATGGTCACACTACGCAGGGAATCTTTTTCCGTTTCAGATGACATCACGCATGAAAACAGTGTTGCACTAGAAAATGAAAACCGAGCCAGGAACCCGCAATGCCTGCTGTCCTAGGACAGCAGGCATTGCGGGTTCCTGGTTTTTGCAATTTCAGAGTCCGAACACACGAGTGCAAAAAGGCTCGGTCGCCCACCGTAAGGAGGCAGCGCAAATTATTGCGATCACATCAATGGGAAAAACCTTGACAAAGATTACGACGAGTAGAGTTTCGGGTAAGTGTCAGCGCGGTTGACCTATTTGCAGAAAAAAAGTTTTATTTTGACAAACAAGATGCTCGAGAGGTTGGAATGGAAGCTCCTTATGGCAGAAGGAGCCGAAAATTGGTACTAGAGAGTTTTAGTAGATCGTTCCGATACCCCCGATAGCCCCGATAACGATACTATGCATGCGCAAGGGAGGCGGTGGCGGAGTATCGGGTATCGTTATCGGAGTCATGGGAACTATCTACTAAAACTCTCTATTGAAAGAAACCACTGCTCGAGAGCATGCATTTCTTTACCTCGCAGCAATCTTGAAGCTTGTTGTTGCCCTTAGCTGCCACTGCAAAAAATCTAACGCATTGTACATTCTCTCCTTTGGCTCTTTTTTTGATTGATTTGGCATTGTGCAGGCACTATATCAAATTTGATTCACAAGTACAGTTATGATCGGGCAGCAAGCAAACGTCTCAGCTACACGTGCGTGCTCCAGAGACCCGACCCCCAAAAAAGTCAACCATCCCAACACTTATCCGAGATGAAGTGCCTTGAACATAAAAATATGCTCGCTACATGTCGTGATCTTTGTCAAGGTTTTCCCCGTTGATGCAAGTGAGTCATTCATGTTCCCTATTCAGGGAGAGCGACCGAACCTTTGCAGATTATGTGTGTTCCATCTCTCTGGATTGGAGTCCGCAATGCCTGCTGTTTTCGGTTTCCTCTTTCAAGTGCGTCCTAAGTTCTCATGCGACAGCTGACCGCCACAAGTGACTCCGTTTCCGTGCATGGTGTCACCTCACTTAAAGAAAAGTTTGCTAAGTAGCAAAGCTCTTGCGGCCGTGCAAGCACTGCCATCTGCTATCACAGGCACAAAAATTGCGAAGTACTCAGAGTGCACCGTCCATTAGCCATGTCTGAATATGTCCTATATATAGCTTGCAAGTGTCAATGCTCCTGGGTACTGGCAGCTATTTCTACGTACTGATTCCTTGATACTTTGCCCTCTGGAGTGCGAAACTAGCACAGTGAATCAAACGCTTATGGCACATAAAATACTGGCAAGGCTGTAAATGATGTCACATGCAAGCTATGTAAAGTTTTTGACAGTATCTATAAACTTCGGTAGGTGCTATGCGAGTACCCTCCACATCACAATATTATAAGTGTTTTTTTCTAGTGCAATGGTTCTCAACCATGGATGTTTCGCGGACCCCTTGTGGATCAGATGATGAAGGACCCCGTTCGCTGTGAGGGGAAGGAAAATATATAGGTTAATTATGATAGTGATTTATTAAATGGATATAACTAAGGGCTAGTGTGATGTAGACTTCTCTTATTGACATATTCACGGGAAAACTAGCCCGAAATTTGGAACGTTTCTTCTCAATTTGAGGAAAGATAACTTTTATTGCCAGGCTTGACCGATGAGGCCGGGCTTCGCAGACCCCCATTTGACTTACAAATGGCCAGTGTACTGTTTGGCTGTATTTGATAACTGGCCAAAACGAAAGAACAATCTTTACGACAATATTTGTATGCAGTCAAATCGACCCCCAACTTTGAAATAAAAACCAGACCAATTATATATATATATAATTTTTTTTCTTTATGTGGGTGGGTTTGGGGGGTGGGGGGGAGGGGGGTTTTAAGTTTAATCTGTCGTTTATTTCTTTTGTATGCCTTGCTTCTTAGTTATTTTTTATTTATTTTTTTACTATAGCGTAGTTTACCAAGCAAGCTTGTCCATGGTTGGGACAAGGCGACACGCCCGTGTCCCAACCATGGACAACCGTGACAAAGAAAGGCCCTCACCTTGGCTTGATGATCTGGCGGACCAGCTTTGGAACCGATCGAGGGCTGACGGCCGTGGACGCGAGTAGTTGAACAATGTAGGGACATAGTCCGGGTGTGCCTTTTCTGACGCCGGCTTCCCTGCAACCGAAACATATGTGATCATCGCCGCACTTCGCGAAGCTCTATCGCTTGCTAAAATTTCAAGTCAACTTACCTGTGATAAAATGGGCGCTACATAGCCTAGACAGCCGACCCGGCTTCCAGCTCTTGGAGGGGTCGGACTTGTCAACTCTCTTGACGGCACGAATCCAGGCTGCCCGCCTCGCGGGGTAAAGCTTACTACACGGAAAGCGAAAAAAGCTATTTCCACAACCCGGGCGATAATAATTCCGACAGCCGAGGGCTACACAGTTCACCGGCATGATTGTGTTGTACGTCGTCGTCGTGATCTACTTAGAATGGGCGTCGTCGGTGCGATGACTTGTGTTGATCTTGTTCGCAACCATCAAAACTTGAGTCTCGAAGGTCCCCAAGTCCCCAAGTTACCGAAAGGTAGTGATGGCAGTGATGCATCAGTGATGGGCTGAAGTACAAGTACAAGGCTCTGCGCTAGCGCCAACGTGAACTCAACCAACTCAACTGCCGAATCGAAAATTCGGTAACTTGGGATACAGTGTCGCCAGACCTAAATTTGATATTCCGTTTTTCCAAGCAAGAACAGCTTTGAATTTTTTTTTTTTTTTAATGGATATTGACACAGTTGTTACTAAACAAGGTGATATGCTACAAGACAATTGTATCGGTACCATTTTTGTGTGTTTACTGGCAAATTTACAGTGACATTTTGCAGACGTGAGGTGACAACGAGATTGGGTGATAGCGCGGTAGCGGGCGCAGTCACGATACGCGATTTTCGGTTTCGAGGCCTCATCAGCGCAAGTGTGTAAGTGTGTACATTGTTGAAATAAAGGCGGTAACACTGTTTTAGACAAACCCCCGAGACTGGGAAAGAGACGAAGGACAACAGAACAGTCTCAAACATAGTGTATGTTGTGTTGTCCTTCGTCCTTTCCCCAGTCTCGGCGATCGTTCTTGCGATTGTTTGCGCCCTAACTTTTTGTTTGGTAAAAGTGTGTTCTTACTTTCTCTGCCTCTGCGAGTCACAGTTTCGTGCGCGAAAAAGAATGCAACGGCTGCTGAACCTTCACCAAAAGAGATGACAATGTTATGGTAAATATATTATTTTTTTTTCGAATTTGAGTTATTTTAGTTTTGCATGGAAGTGTGCGTTTCATATTCGCAACGTCTCATTTTTAACTTATATAATCCCGGTTTCTAATGTTGGGACGCACGCCTACGTTTAGGAGTTAGGAATTCCGGATGTGCAACTTCGGGCATGATAGTTTTGTGTTTAGTTTAATGCGAACAGATGAAAACCGCGAAATAATGCTAATTAAGAAGCAATCATATTTTGTTTTGGCAGACTGCTTGTGAGCCGAGAAGAGGATTGCTATAGTGGCGAGAAGTGCTTTAAATAACTTGTCAATGTTGCACCTACCTCGTGCATCACTAGAAATATCAAATGAAAATCACGTTATCCAGGATGTACCGCAGCATCTGCGTCAATTCCTGTTCAATCTTGTGTTCTTGAGGCAGGAAATATTGAAGAAAGGCTGACAAACGCACAGTTACCATATACATGATGTGTATTATAAATACTATGGTCACGTTAAGAGCATATAATATAATAAATACGTAAAAGATTTGGCAACGGCGGCCGGCCCATATCGTTTCAACTTTGAATGGAGGTAAAATATGTCTTCTTTTCAAACGCACTGCTTTATATTAGGAAAACATATATATCAACGAAATTTTATTGCATATATAAGCACAGATAGAAAGCTTTTCGTAGAAAAACCCTTGACAAATAAAAAAATGCGCATTTTTTTTTTAAACTGACGTTGAATTTTTAATTTTTAGCATTTCTTCTCAAGTTTACAGGGTTGTTTCTTTCATATAAACTAAACCTAAATTAACAAGATTATAACGTTTAAATTTGCTTTTTGGCCTGTTATTGTCAAAGCTGCAAGATTCAATAATTTTTACTTCACAAAATAAAAAAAATAAAAAACACTTCGAGGTAACTTTAGCCATTCTATACGAAGTTTTAAAGCAGTGAAAATAGTTATAATCGTTGTGAACAAAAAGAGAATCTAAAAGTTTTGAGACTCAAACGGCGTCACTCGTAAAAACTGCAAAAAATGGCAAGACGTAGCTTCTGCCTTTTCGAAGCTCAAAACTCGAGAACATAAAAAATGTTCCGTCGTTCTAATGTGCATTTTTGTTTTAGTCACACATGACTCATGTACCATTTAGTAAAAATGAGGCATGACTGGTATGTTATAATTAAAAAAAAAAAAAAAAAGGTCATGCACATGTCCAGTTTACCTATAAAATCTTAAGATTCAAAACTTTTCTTTAAATGAACTTATTTAAACGCCTTCTTTTTATTTAACAAGCATAAAAATTAAGTTTCACAGACCTCTATGTCAGGCAATGCAAGCTAATTCTTATTTTCAGAAACCTAGCGGGTCGGGTGAGAAATTTTGCTTCTTTTATGCGGCCGGATTTTCACTTATACTGGTGATTCTCGTTTAAAACTTCTTGACTTTCTTTTTATTTGACGCAATAGCAAAATTTCAGAGAAACAGGCAAAATGCATAACAATACATAGCATTTTTAGCATGATAAGCTCACAGCAACGTTTATCGTGATATAAAAAAGGTGATTTTATGTGAGGTTAACCTACTCTTGAGAATTCGTTTTTTTTTTTCTTTTTTTTTTTTTTTATTACAACCCTGAAAAACCCGTCTCTATTTTCACAGCACTAAAAAATTTCAATTTTTTTTTTTTTTTTTTTTTTTTTTTTACTGTGTCGGGGTATTGGGCGAAGCATGCTGCTTTTCACTTTTGAGGAGTACAATTCCAGGTACTTTCGGGGCCACTACACGAGAAAAATCATCAGCACTTCCAATGGTTTCCAGTACCGACGACCTGAGGTTGTACAAGGAGGCTTGGTTCTTGAGGACTCTCCCCACCCCATTAAACGCACTTCTACCGTCATGTCTCGTAGCTTAAAAAAAAAAAAAAATCAATTTGGTGATTTCTTGTCTCTTCGCCATCTCCTACATTTGAAACCTATTTTTGAAATGGCTATAACCTAGCTCCCCGTCGGAGATGTGGACAAGTTTTGTAAATATCGGAATGTCTTCTTCATGCCACTCTTCAACTGTGTGCAGAGCGAACAGTGCGTGTGCTGTATTGTGCACAATGTCGTCGCTGACAACTCCGAAGCTGTAGATTTCCCGCTCCGCTGTAGCGACATATAGGTGAAGATAGACACGATTGGGCTCTTCCAATGAAAGCATTGCACCGCTGGAGGAATAGCGGCGCCTCCAGTTTTCCGCAAAATCAAAATGCAATACGATGGTACGAGCCTTGAGGTGCGACTTCTCTGAGCTTATAGCAAGCCGCTGAGTGTGACGCCCTTACTGAGCTCATTGCAAAATGCGTTACTTCCCATTTGTTTATTTAGCAGTTCGCCAGATTGCCACAAAGCTACTTCGATTTCTTCGTCTTCCTTCAATGGCAACGATTTCGGACACACCTTATACAGCTCAGCATAACACACTCCATAGTTGGGTAGCACGCAGGCAAAGTTTCTTAAATGTTTTCAAGACTGAATTCTTTGTCGCCCACGTTTAATATTGTTGCCAAGCAAAAAGTAGTTGCTCTCCCTCTTGGTTTTGGTTAACGGTGTCTAACAGAATGAGATGAGATACCAGATATGTGGGTAGCATAGAACCTGCCAGCGAAGCAAAACGAAAGAGAAAGGCTGCTGCTCCCGAAGGCGGCGGCTAATAAGCTTTAGCTCTTGCCTCCTGGTAATCACAGGTTGTCTATAGACAACCTGTGATTGCTTCTTTCTTTCTATCACGTGCACGGATCGTCTTATGGTATTCGTTTCTAATGTTGATAGTGGGCCCTGTCAGTACTAAATAAACAATCCCGACAGCTACCTAAAAAGGGGGATGCTACACTCACAGAGGGGTGGCGACATGCCTATGCCGCCACCCCGTGGACTGCCCTTTGGTTCCCACTTTCCGTCGAAGAAAAAATAGCCAATGAAGCTTACGAGAACTTTGAAGGTACCTATATCTCAACAAAAAAACAAAATATATAAAAAAAAACAAAAATAGGGAAGACGCGCACATTGCTGAAAAGCGAAAGCAAGCGCCGAAGCCGCGCATTGCTATCAGAGCTGATAACTTCACTTATCATCCTACGAGATTTGGAACATACGCTTGGTTTCGCAAAAATAGAAGTGACGATGGTAAAGATGGAGATTTGGAGGTTTGAACAAGCCTAGCTTAGCTATCGTGTAATGGAAGCTGTTTGAAGAAAGAAAAGATGCATGCATTGCACACATATTACGTGCTCGGCGGGCCGCCGCTTTGAAATGTTTTCCCCCACAAGTGGTTTTTATTAATATATATTTGTTAATCTCATATGACAACGCTAAGATAAGACATCGTTTAAGACGGCGTTCCAAAGGTCCTTTTCATTAAGCTCCGTTATAAAATCGGCCAATGAGCTCGCGATGTTGAGTGCGCATGTGCCCTACGGCGTACGCTGGTTCGCCGATTTTTATAAAGGAGCTTGTTCTAAAGGCCTTAAAAATGCTCGTCTGAGAGGCGGAACAAGCAAACTGAATGGCGGAAGAACCCCTTACCATATTTAACTATCAATGTGTAAGTTTTGCCGAACTGTGTGTAGACTCGAGAACCAATAAAAACTATGATAATGTTACAAAAATAACTAATATTTAAGTGAAAAACGATGACAGAGATATGCGTCGTAGAAGAAGGGTACAAATATGTCTTCGTTTCAAACGCACTGCTTAATATGACGGAACCATATATGTCAAAGAAATTTGATTGCCCTTATAAAAAAAAAATTATAGAAAACTTTTTATGTAAAAAAATAGGAAAAAACAAAAAATGTTTTTTTCCTAAAATGACGTTGAATGCTGCACTTTTACCTTTTCTTTCTCATGTCAATAGTGTTGTTTCTTTTATATAAACTGTCCTTAAATTTATATTATGATTTTATTTGACTTAGATAGAAGCTTTCATTTGATATGTTTCTTATGCCTCAAATAATTGTACATGGAAAGCTAGCTCGATTCAGGCCAGAATGTGTCACTAGTGAAAACTACAAAAATCGCAAGTTGATATCTTTTATTCATAGTTTTTCAATAACACATAAAAAAAAAAGAAGTTCGTCGTCCCTTGTCTTAGTTTGTTTTATTCGTTATTTGTCAGTATACAATAAATATTATATTAGTTTGATTTCAATAGTTTCTGAAGAGAAGTTCTACCGTTTTGGTGATTGTTTTTCAGTAGGTTTTCGATTGATCCTCGATAATTATGCGGAAATCAATAATTGGAGTTGCGTTTTTCTCCGAGTTACACGACATTTCCCAGACGTTCCTCGTCCGTCACCTAATTAAACCCCGTCGATAGCATTGCGATAGTTGGATATCAATATTTTCACGATATTCGACTATGAACAACTTCACGGTAGTCGACTATTTATAGTGCACAATCG